GCCCGGGGACGCGGCCAGGAGCACGGGGCCGGGACCGGGGACAGCCGAGGGGACCAGGGCCGGGGAACAAGGGCAGATGCATGGAGTGTCAAAGCCAGAGGAGATTTGTGGAGACGAGAGATGAGGTTCTCTCTGGAGACGCCAACTCGCTTGCCGTGGTCCTCTGCTCTGGCAAGCCAGGGCCCCATCGGGTGCCGTGCAGGGATGCTGGCCCCGGGGGGTCAGGCCTCGCAGCCCACCTGGGTCCTGCAGAATCAACCTCTAGCTGCACTGATTTAGCCGGCAACTCAGACTCCTGCAGCTCCCTCTTTCCCACCCCTTTGCTAATCACTGCTTCCTCCGAGCACAATCACACAGTACAGCAGGCGCGAGATCTCTCATCAGGCACTGGCTGCAGGACCTTGACATAAAAGGCCTTAAAAAGAAACAACTGCTGAGCAACTTAAACAGCAGCAAGCAGCAAACAATGATTGCTCCCCGAGAAACAGCCCTCTCAGCTCAGATCTCCAGGCAGATAGCAGTAAAGAGCTGCTGGCTTCCCACACAGAGACAAAGCGGAACATTTCATGCCTGTGACCTGTTAAAATTAATCACTAGGTAACCTTCTTGGGCAATTAAAAACAAAAAAACCCAGCTCTTCAAGGAGTGTGGAGGCATGTGCAAATACTAGCACAGCAACAGCTCCCCAGCCTCGCTGGTCTGACACCAGTCAAGGCTGGGGAGGCACTGGTAGAAACCCGGTGCTAGAAAACCCAAACTGCAGCATTTGCTCTATACAGATTGCAAGGCAGTGACATGGGTGCAAACGGCCTTAGCCCAGTCCTTCTTGCACCCAGCATGTGACAAGGCGACATTCCCATTCGACTCCTTGTATTGCTGTCCATAATTACCATGATGCAGCTCAATTTCTAATGGGACTCACGTGAGGATCCACGAGTGTGCACAGAGACATTTCTCAGGCTTTACCTTACTTTCCAGCTTTTCTGAGTTCTGCCTGAGCTCGTTGCATGACTGCTCTGATTTTTCCAGCTTTCTTCTTAGTGCTGCCAGCTCCTTCTAGGTAAAATTACAAGAAAAAGAAAAAAAATGATTTTGAGAGCTCCAACATCCCCAGTTTATTTATGAATACACTGTTTTCTGTTAAAAATAACTGGGAGAGACATAACTGCCTTATTAAGAAAATTTACCAGCCAAATTTGAAGGCCGCTCACTGCAAATTGCTAGCACTATAACTCCTGACGTGAATTTTGTTGGAGGGAATGTCAGCTTTGGCGTATGCACAGAGCACATTTTATGAGAAAGAAGCAAACCTCAAAAGCTTGGGATGAGCATCCAAACGTCTGAATTTTGCTCATCAAGTGTTCCTTGCAAACCTGGCAGGCTATCAGAGAGCAGCTGCAAAGGAACATGGGTTTGTGTGATTCTCTTTCAGGCAGGCTCACTATAACTGCAAAAAGAGCTTCTGGTTGCAGGGTTGTCCTGCTTTGATGTCCAGTGGTGAACAGAGGCAGAAATGTGCAGAAATGTGATAAAAATAGAGGCCAATGGGTGGTGGGGCCTGGTGGAACCCAGGCAAGTCTTGAGAGGGAAACGCACACTTGGCCAGCTTTTATTTCGTCTGACCCAGCCTAAAAACATCTTGTTAAAACTTCACTAAGGCAAGAAGAGGAGCAGGAAAGCCAGACTAGGAATTTAGCACAGGTTGCACACTGTGAGAAAGGCTGAAAGGTGGCTTTCCTGGGTCAGCAAATATCTATTAAATAGTCTCCCACCACCAATTTCAGCTCTGGTGGAAGCAAGCACAACTCTAGTGACATTACAGAGCAGAGTCCCTTATGTCAAGGATGGATTTTGCTTGCTCATCTCTCATCTCCTCTGTCATCCCAGAGACTGATGTGGGGTGCCAGCTGGCAAGGGGCTCAGGGTCCAGAGCTCGAGGGACCCGGCATAGCCCTGGCGAGTCGGGAGGGCACATGGACAGCCATGCGCCTGGAACAGGGTTTGGACTGTGGGACATCTGTGCACCTGCAACTGTCCCTCCAAGGACGGAGGAGGGTTATTTCTTCTTCCATAGCTCTACGTGACACATTACTCAGGGCAAAAAATGCAGTGCTAAGAACATAAACACTTCTGGATAGCCATCATAACCTGTCTCCATGGCAGAAGGTACCTCCAATTCGACAAGCCCACTAAGCAGTACCCCTAAAACATCTCATCCCATCCCATCCCACGCCATCTTGTCCCTTTGCATGGTACATACTTCTTTGGCACGGAGCTGATCTTCTGCAACATTGATGCTGAGTAAGGGCCGCACACGGCTCATCAGCTGCCACCAGGGCCAGTGCCTCACAGCCTGGAAGACCACCAGGTTCTTCTGGATGCACCGAATGGCGAGGTGCTGAATCTGCAAGGAGACATGGCCTGCAGTGGCACCCGTCCAGCCACGACCTGGGTCTGCTGCCAGGAAGGGCCGGGCTGGGCCGCTCAGCCAGCACCGGGTGGGGAAGGGATGTGCTGGACCGCAGCAAGCAGACGGAGCAGCTCAGCTTAGGAGGGGACAGGCAGCACGACACGCCGCAGCCACCAGCAGGCCACTCCCGGTGGTGCATGGGGCTCTGCACTACTGTTCAAAGGAGCAGCGCGCTCAGCCCAGAGGGGCTGTACCCAGTCCCATGAGGGGCACTTGGCCATGTCACAGCAGCTCTGAACCCTCTGCAGTGGCCAAACCCCATGCTGTGGTGTACACAGGGTATTCATGACCAAGGTACCTTCAACCTCTTGAATTTCTGCCGGCTGAGGAAGCCCTTGCAAGCCGCCTGAAGGAGGATCATTTTCTGGGATATCAGCTTGTTGCGCTGCTTCTCCAGCCTGGAGATGACCCCCGGCTTCAGGAAAACCTGGCAGCAAGCAGAGGTAGTTACTCTCCCCTAGAATAGGGTCTATCACCAGCATCCATCCAGCCAAGAAACGAAACCTGCCCACCACCGATGGTCCATATTGCTGGCCAGCGTAAGGCAGCCTCCCCAAGCTCTGTCAGATACCCAAGGTCCTCAGACAGGCTCCATCCGCCTCCTGCCGAGCCCCCTGGCCAACTGTGTCTCCCTCACACCCCCTCCTCCACCTCCAGCCCTCTCCAACACCCTGAGTCACTATCACGGGGTCAAACGCGGCCCCGTAGAGGTGCCAGCTGCCCTGTCTCCCTCAGTTTCACAGGGACTTCAGTGCTAAACACCCTCCCCAGGCACTTCACTGTCCTCCTCTCTCTTCTTCCTTTTTGACATAAGCATCAACCATTTACAAGAAGTTGTAAATCCTTAGAACTTTTTCCATGGGTCACTGCACATTTCCTGCCCTCTGCAAAGACAATGTTGGCACCTCTGCTGGAAAAGGCATTTCCAATAACACACACACACACACACACTGACCACACACTGATAATAGCAACAGAAAATAGATGCTAGTTTACAATGGGAAAAACAAAATTAGCCACATCATCTTCTTCATCTGAACTTGCCATAAAGATGTCAAAAACAATACAGATCTGCTAATGCCATTGAATTTAACCCACTATTGATCTTTCAGAATATAAGATATCTCTCAGCCACTGTCTGCTGAAGCTGTTGGGATGTGGACCAATGGCTTCCAAATACTGTGCACCATTTGCATAATTCCATTTTAATAAAAAATCAGCTACATTTGTGAACCTCGTGGCATACTTAAAGAGCTGCATTTTAAAGATGGCAAATTGAATCAAAGCACAATTCCAAGGAAACTCACTTTCTTGAGATAATGCTATGATTGCTTCACCACCTATTTGATTGTCTCATTAATGTCTGTATTAACTTCACAAGCCAGTGAGTTTTAGAAGCTAGTACAAAATCAATGCTCAAAGTGACGGCAAAACTAACTCCTATATAACAAGATGTGACTGCAGCTGCTATCACGCTATTGATTAAGTACAAGAGTTTCACAGAAGAGATAATTGCAAACTGCAGTACGCAGGATGAAAGAAAGTTATGTTGCTTCACAGAACTGCTCCATGAATTCTTTCTTTATAGACTCCGAGGGCTAAAAGCCTGCATACAAAATTAATTTGTCTTTGAGATTATCAGCTTCAAGTTCAGATTTTGTTGCTGTGACAACTATTGCATCTGCAGCTGCCCAATTCAGCAGCCTTTTAACCTCAATCCCTCACAGACCACGAGCTTCCTAAGCCCCATTTATTTCAGTGGGAAATCAAAGGTAATTAGGTACTTAAATGCCACTAGGAGCTGGATTTCAATGATTAGGTACCTTGTTTACCTGGGGTAATGTTTTCAAATGGGAATTGGGAGCCTTCCTCCTCAGTTTTCACAGAGGCTTTGGTCCATCACCCAGCCAGGCACTCTGGGAAGCTTTGCAGCAAGAAGTAGAGGAGATGCTTTTCCTCATTTTGGAAAGCTCAGGATAACTGACAGTGCCTGGCTGGAAATGGGAATGCTCATACACATCGATACCCGGGGAGAAACAGAGATTTTAGCCACCATACCTGGCTGCGCCCTACTGCGACACTTTTCTTCTCTAGGTCGAGCACCTGGAAGAGCTCTTCTATCGCCTGTGGAGAAGGAGCACATCAAGGCGTTACCCAGACCCTCCACTCGTGCGCGGGGCTCAGACGTGGTCTGTGCGTGCCAGAGCCAAGGCAGAGCCTGCAGACACGCAGGGATAGGGACCCGCTGGTGCGTACGGGAACCAGGCCAGGGTGCACCCCGCTTGAAACCCACATGCAGAGCTGCCCCCAGGCTCAGCACCACCAGCAGCTTGCTTCGGTGTCCGCTGTCCGCAGTGGGGTAACATCCTGTCCTAGCGACCAAAGAGGTCCCTCGCCATGCCCAGCACCCCCACGCACCAAAGCACATCAGCAGCAAAGTCCACCTCACTTCTGGAGTCTGCAGTGATTCTTCATACCTGCACCCTCGTCTCCTCCCCCCATGCAAAAGGACACCCTCCCCTCGGTCTCTATTAAACATTTAACATTACTTTTCTTTTAAAATCGAAGCAGGCAGAAAAATAATTGTTAGTTCCTGGAGAAAAAACGCAGCATGATCTCCCAGCAGACGGATTTCAGCCTGTCAGCCCCACTGTGAGTTTGCTCACGAGACACGTCAAGCACGTTCATTAGCAATATTCCCTGGGCATCGTAGGCACATTGGGGCCCCCCGGCCCCGCTGTAACTCTCGTGCGCTTGCCTCTCCCCCTCCAGCCCTCGCCGCGCTGCGCAGCCAGCAAAAATGCACGGAAGGTGATACTTGCCAAACAGCACAGATTAGATTAGGGAAATTTCAAAAGAAACTTTGTTCTAAGTTTCTATTTAATTTGGGAGTGTGAGCAACTATATCATCCCTACAGAAAATACAGACCAACCAAAAATATCCTTCACTGCTTTCAGCTCAGACTCTACTGACTTGATTTCCAACAACAGTAACTGCAGCTCTATCTATATGGGCTTATTATTTCTTAAAAAACAGGCCCCAAATTTGCTCAGGATCCTGCACCTAAAAAAGTCTTTCATTAAACTTGCTCTTGTTCAGGTTTGCAATGAAACCTCAGTCCATGTGCATTTCTCCAGTCTGGGGTTTTTTTTTTACAGAAATATCATCGAGAACCCTTAAAAGATATTGGTAGATCTCATGAGACACGCTAGTAAACAAAATATTAAACCAGCATCCAGAAGCTACCATTTTTTTCAAAAAAATGTTACACTGACAAGTACATCCGACTACTTCATACATTCCCAAGACAGTTGTTACCTAAATGTGGAATAAAAGGACACAATTCAGTTCCCAGCAAGCTGTTGTAGACGACTTCTCCAAATCAAAGATTTTTAGAGCACAAAATGAAAATAAATGGCTGGTTGCATCCGTGGCTTACATGCAGGCCAGGAGCCCAGCGCAGAAGAGGAGCCTCCGAAACAGCTTCTCAGCAGCAATGCCAGTCGGAAAGGGCTGTCTGCTGAGCGGGCTTTGGAGGGGATGAGGCAGGGGACCTGCAGCTGTAGGAAAGCTCCCCTCACCCGTCCCAGCCGCCTCCAGTCTGGACAGATACCGCGTGCCGGCCGCCAGCTCCAGGCGGCCACAGCCTGGAGGGTGCAGCCGCACCAGTGGATCTCAGCACACCTCGGAGCCAGAAGCCCCAAGGATGCTTCCGTCCCGCTACATTACTGAAAGCCTCCATTCTTGGAGAGAGAGGCAGGAAGGAAAGCTGCGCTTTTATCCCAAATCCTGTCCAAGGAAGCAGCCTGCTAGTGCAGAGCCAAGCCCTCCAGCAGGGAGGTAAATGTAAGATTATTCCTGAATCTTAGGAGAAGCTTGAATTCAATTACCTTGAGCTTTGGACCAACATGTGAAAGCAGTGGTAGAAGCAACAGCCAGAAATATCGCACATTTCCTCAAGGCACTGAACGCTCTCTGGGCAAATAGAGGTTTTGAAAACCCTATAGCTACAGAAACCGTAACAAAAATCCTCCACTAATGCTTCACTTCGCACAAAGTCCCCAGGTTGCCTTGCACTTCCCGCTCATGCCACCCTTTCCCAAAGGCCCAACCCGCCTGGGAAACATTTCCAAGGCACTTGGCTCTGAGTGATGCAAGCAGGGGCTGCTGGCACATGCATCTGGCGTTAAAACTAGCAAAAAAGCACTTCTTGGATACTCCAGAGTACAAGCGATGGCACCTACCAAAGGTGGGCGTTCAGCTTGGGCTAGAAGGAAGATAAAATCTTATACTAGGAGCTGGACCTTAATGGATGCAGTTAATCTGAAATATAAACACTCTAGCACCCATGGATATTCACAAAGCCAAAGAGCTCAGAAAAGCAGAGCCCTGGGATAACCCTATGTGGGGGCTTTTCCAGCTCCCAGACTCGCCCTAGGAGCACTCTGCCGTGTCACTGCCCGCGGCCCTGGTGAACACGTGCCGTGGCTCCCTGGCGCTTCTCCAACCTGGTGGGCAGCGAAAAAGAAAGGGAAAAAGATTCTCTTGCATCACTGAAAAACCTCTGAGCAATAATTAGGAAGAGACCTGTCAGACGTATCACAGGCTCCTGTAAGTGCCATCGCTTTTCACGCACATGAAGCAGCCAAGGGAGACATTCCCAGCATGCGCTCCCACCAGCGTGGGAGCATCCCAGCCTGCAGGGCCAGCAGCACCCACGGCCCCGCGAGCCGCACGCACGGGGCGAGGGGAGGACGGCACGCGTGAGCCCCCGGGGGCGCGACTCCTTGGTGCATGGACCCCTGCGGGCGCTGCCGGACTGAGCCGGGCACCCCATGCCTGAGCCTTCATCACCCCCCTGCGACGCTCACGCTAAAGACAAACCCGCCGTGTGCTCCAGCCGCTGGGTTAATGCGGCTTACGGAAAAGCATTCTTCTGCTAACAACATCTCATGACAACAAGCTCCAGGGAGGATGGGATTTTTCAAATCTCCTGCTTACACGCTGCTGACAAGGCACCCTCTGCCTTCTTACCACGTTTAATAACAATATTGACCTTTTCCAACTGCCAAACTTGTCTTATTAAATCCTGAGGTCTTAACTGAATTTGCACACATTCTCTGGCAGTTTGCACAACAGCACACGTGTTCATGTTTAATTCATCTCCTCTCGGCTCTTCCTACCCTGAACGCTCAGCAGCTTCTTCAGAGGTCGTTCCAGGGGACGGGGGCAGGCCTCCCCAGTTTTCACTACAAACTTATTATGAAATAAACAAAACTGGCAAGTAAATAAAATCTTCGCCCTCATTCCTGAGCTCCATCAACTTGCAGGCTTAGCATGAGACAAGGAGCCACCTCGGGCCGCTGTCTCTGCAGGCCCCTGCGGACACGTGAGGGCTGATCTGCAGGAATCACTGAGCAATCCTGGCTCTGTTGGCTCCCTGGGGATCCTGCCCCTGTGGCACATGCCATCCCGGACCGCCTCTCACCGCAGCTCTTCCACTTCGCTCCAGCCCTAGCCCTGGAGAGCTCTGCTCCATCCTGGAGCAGCCCTCAAACACCTAACGATCATGGGATCCGCCAGGGGCGCAGAGGGAAACAGATTAAAACCAAAGCCAATGTTTAAATTATCCCCATCGTCTTCTGCAAACAGTGCTTGGCCTGTCTGCAGCCATCTGCTTTTGGGGGAGCCCAAAAGCCCAGCCATGGGGAAAAACCCCGACTCCAGGAGTGGAAGCACTGGGGCAGTCGGTGCTGGCTGCGCTCTGCCAGGGCGAGCGACGGGCCTGGCCACGCTGGCAAAAGGAAAGCACATTTTCCTCTCCACATGTGTCTTTATGCCACGGCGCGTGTAACTCTGCCCTGCAAAATCAACCCTGCAAGGCTGGTGGCCAGAGCACCAAAGAGCCGTGCCGCCAGCCAGTTCTGAGCAAGCACAAACTTCAAAGCAGTTTGTTCTTGAATATTAAAAAGAAGTAATAGCAGGCTTCATTTCCAGGCTGATTTCTCAAAGTCCTCTCCATGGTGCAATAACACTGGCAAATGCAGCCCACGCTAGGAACGTTTACTGCATTTGCAAAAACACAGTCCTGAGGGAGACTAAAAGCAGAGCTTTGCTACTATTCCAGGAACAGCCTAGCAGCTTGCTAGAGGACTCTGTTTTCAGTCCCACACGGGACAGGTGAGGATGAGCAGGATGTAAAGGTCCCCCTGCAACCCAGAGCCTCCCTCAGCTGTGCGCTGGGGCTTGTCAAGCGCACCTTGACCGCGACTCCAGCAGAGCATCTGGAGGAAGGTGCGTTAAAGCAGCACCCACCGAGTCACTCTTCTCCTAGTGATTAATCCCTTACTTTAGATGAGATCTACAGGGAGGAAGTGAGGACACTTTATACATTGGCAATGAATTAAATGGCTGTATTGCATGACCTCAGAGGGAAAATCAAAGATACATCATGGTTGCTACATGGCTGAGCCCACTGCGTTTCAAAGTCAGTAGCAATGCAGTGAGAGGCCCATTGCTGGCCCCATAAGATCTGAAGCTCCTGTTCATTACCACTGAGCGCTGACAGCTCAGTGCCTTTACGGATAGGCTGACTCTGCACATTTCTGGACCTAATTGTCATTTCTCTGTAGCCCTGCCAATTCTGGCAAGCTAGCCCGAGCCTCACTGAACGTATTTTTTCTCCTTCACTCCCAGTTCCTGAAAACAGTCATGCACTTAAGAACCCCTGGGGCCTGCATGCCTAACGCTGTTGCCACAGCTTTGCAGGTGGGCACCCTCATCCACAGCTGTCCAGATGTGTGCCCTTACCCACAGCAGCCCTGCAGCCCAGGCGGGCTCGGAGGTAGGGAGCATTGTCCACAGCTGTCAGGAGACACCGAGCTCCACGGGCTCACAGACCCCCAGGCATGGGCTCTAAGCCCCACCAGTCATGTAAGGAACAATATCGACCTCTCTACTTTTATCTCACCAAATGAATAGATAAGACTGGGAGGGGGGAAGCAGTTCCTAACCAGCAGCGCAGGCAGATGCTGGCCCAGCCCAGCCGTTTGGAGAGAGAGGACAACCTGCGTCATGCACATGTGGGCTGCAATGACTGCCAGAGCAGGGACTGTCTGTCACAAGGGAGCTCCAGTAATTGCTCCTAATTGCACTGAAAGTCTTGATTGTATAGGCAGGGCACAAAAAGCTCAGAGGCTGGCAGAGCCCCAGAGGGGCTCTTAGCTCACAGCACGCCTTCTCGAGGCCAGCGCTGTGCTGCCGCGCTGTGCCGGCCCCTGCCCTGGACGCACCTTGCTCTCGTCCGGCACCTCGTAGGCAGACGTGTATTTCTTCATCACCTCCGGAGCCAGCACCTGGAAGCAGCGCCGGAACTGTGTCAGGGGCAGGCGATCCGCATAACCTGGGGGACAGGGAGGAGGACAGGCACGATTCAGAGGGGCTGCACGCCCCGGGGGCCCAGGCCTTGTGTGGAAATACTGGGAAGTCATGAGGTTAGCAGGGAACACAGGTGCTACCCCTTACGGGGAGAGGACCCCTGCAAAGAGCGCAAGCAGAGAGCAGCTGGAGAAGCACTAGGCATGGACATGCCCAGGAAGGCAGGACGCTGCTCCCTGCCTTGCTTTGGGTAGGAAACGCTGGGGAGCCTCCTGCACGAGGTCCCTCTCCTTCCAAACAGCCCGGGAGCCCCGTGACTGCAGGTCAATGTCGAGTCCTGCCTGACCGTGCACAACATGTCAGTCCCCTCCTGGGGCGGCCAGACGGGGCGTAAGAAGCCAAGCTTAGGCTGCACGGACGTAGCAGTCCCAGGAGCACCACGGGCTGTGGCGGGAGGGGAGCCGGGAGCCCCTGCAAGCCCACAATGGCAAAAATGCACTGGGGGCTTCAGCGAAGGTGGGACTGCTGAGAGGCAAACGGCCAGCGAGTGCAGGAATGGCTGAGCCACTGGCAGGACCGCGCTGCTCGCACATGGACCCACACCGGTGAGCCCACCCGCCTCGGCGCGCAGGAGGCTCACCAGTGCGGTAGAGGCGCACGGCGTCCAGGAGCTGGGCACCCGCCAGTTGGGCTCGCAGGACTGGCACGTCCAGCTGCAGGTCTCCCTCAGGTGGCGCGGGGGGCTGAGAGCCCGTGCCGTCCGCGCCCGCTCGTGGAACAAGGCAGTGGATGAAGTGCAGCTGGGATCTTTTGAGCAGGTTTGTGAGCGCGTCCTGCCAAATAACCAGAGATCAGCAAAGGCATCAGGGCTGGAGGGAGCAGGGAATGGGGTAGCACATGAGGTAGGATGGGCAAATACTCCCTTTCCACCCACCTCGGGGTTTAATGGGCACTTAAAGGAGTTATTCTCAGAGCTCTGGAAATTCGTCAGTGTAATTAGGAACAGCAGCTTCTGCCCCACTTGTGGGGCTGAGAGGCAAGTCACAAATGCTGAGCAGTACCTTTTCTCCAGATGTCCTAGGCTTTCCGTTGACAGGTCAGTGGGTTAGAAAAAGCTAACAAATGGGCTTATTCCTGCAGAGGTTTAGACTTGCTAGGCAGGCATTTGCCCATGAGCTCTGCCAGCGAGATCCAAGATCACAAGGAGCGCTGGCAGACGAGTCTACAGAGACTAAGGCTCGTCTCCTCAAGAGAATTTAGGCACCTAATTGCCATTAAGATCAACAGGAGTTTGGCACATAACTAGCACGGTGGGCTAGTCTTCTGAGTGCTTAAGAGGATTAAACACCGGCACAGCCAGGTGCACATGTAATCTGCTTTGTGGTCTGTTTTCCTGGAACGCTTTCGCATAGCGACAGAGGTTTCCAAGAGGCTCTTTGGCCACCGGCTGCCAGAGCAGCATCTCAGGGACGTGGGACTGACAGCAGGTAGAGCAGCACCAGCGGCCGTAGTCCGGCGCCTGCTGAAGTGGGAGATACCTGCCCCGAGCGTCCCGGAGAGCCAGGGGCTGCCGCTGCCCCTGCGCTGAATGCGGAGCATCACAAACGCGCTGACGCCTGCCCTGAAGGCCCAGCACAGCACCCGTGTCCCCGTGCCCACACTCACCGTCTGCAGCTTGAGCTGAGCACACACGGATTTCCTCTTCACGGCAGCAAAGCTGTTGGTGAAGGTCTTCCTCACGCAGCCAATTCGCTGCAAAACTGGCTGGGAATATCCCTCCAGACCTGCCACAGAGCGGCAAATCAGGGGCATTTTGGAGCGAGGCAGGAACAGGTCCTTCAGAGCACTTCTGTCGGGAGTGAAGCAGTGAGACAAGGATGACAGAGCTGCAGAGATGCTGGCCTACGGCGCAGGGGAAACTGCCTTTGCAATGAGTTCTCTTCCCCTTCTGGAAGGGGAAGAGAAAGGGCGACTGTGCATTATCTCGCTCCATGCAACGCTGGCAGCAGGGCCTGGCAGTGCCCCCCTGCACTAACGCTCCTGCGAGGGTTTGCTGAGAGCCAGTGACGAGGAAGAGAGGAGGGAGCGGAGGCACCTTTCCATCTGTCGTTTATCCCTGGCTCGGGTACTGAGCTGTTCACAGCTATTAAAACCTTCCTGAATTGAAGCCCAAACAAAATGAGCTGAACATCTTTAAACAGAAGGTTAAATTTATCATGTATGTGGAAACATCTGTAACAGCTTGATTACATTTCAATTCCAATTTAGTTTACAAGGTATCTAGATGCAGCAATGAAAACTCGAGTGGTTGCTGCAGGGAAGTCAGCCTTGTTAGGTGTTGTCTCGCTGCCGGATGAAGCTGCGTGCTGATGCCCGTGTTCCCTGGCCGGGCACAGGCCAGACCCTGCGTGGCTCAGGCCAACCCTGATGTTGGCCCCTCTGGCTCGGGAAGAGGCAGTGAGAATGTGCTCCCACAGCCAAAGGGGGTTTCCCTTAGCTCACAGCAGGCACCGAGGCTGCCGCAGCATTGCCCCAGCAATGGCCCCAGCAGCCGCAGGGCACAAGCACGCACCACCGCTCTGCCTCTCACGCTGACGCAGCGTGCCAGGAAGGGGAGTTTCCATTGAAAATGTCAATGGAATGGATCTGCTGATTGGAAGAAATCAGACAGTTTTGATGGAAAGCTGTGCAATTGTGGCATTATTCACCAGCTCTCTGTTTAGTGCCTGCCGCAATCAAAATGTGTAGATCTGGCTGTCAACCAGGCTGGAGGGGTTGAAGTTACTGCAAACAAAAGACGGCTGAAACTCAAATCACTTGGCATCTGCTTCCACCACCTTAACTAAACTCCTAGGATTTCTGCAAAGCTGAGGTGAAAAGGGGCCTTTCTTTTCTGGTTTTCTTTTTTTTTCTTTTTTTTTTTTTCCAGAGTTGAGCTGGATTCCAGCCATGAGGTGTAGCAGCGACACTTCTCTGTTGCTGTCCCTGATAAGCCCAAAGGGAGCAACAGCACACGCCTTCCCCACACTGGCCGATGCTAGCTGGAGAAAACCCCCTTGGCAAGAAGTGCCTCACAGTGGGACCGCCTGCCCTAGCTCTTTGCAGCTCCTTTGACTTTGGCCAGGCTCCAGGTCCTCTCCTCTGCTTTGGGCTGTCCCGCAAAACCCCCCCACTTTCCCCACCATTAACTTCCTTGCAGACCTGCAGAACGTTTTACAAGTTCCAGACGCAGCTAAAGCTCTTTATCTCACTATGGGAGGTTATTCCCCAAGCCACTCTCCTTGGCAAGGTGATCATCACTGGTGCAGCAGTGAGCGAGACCCTCAAGCCTCATAGCGTGTTTTAAACATCCTCGAGCCTGGTGCCCACCCTAATACTTACATCTTGGACTGCTGCAGGACCTGGATGGCGTTTTGCGCTGACAAGTTGAGTTTGGCTTTGCTGACCCAACCCGTGAGGTCGTAGCGAACAGGGTCTGTGCCCAGCTGGTGGAAGATCTCGAACTGCAGCACCTGCTCACACTTGCGCATGTAGCGTTCCTCTGTAAGAGCAACACAACAGCAAGGGGAGGTTATTAGGCAGTAGCCACGTGGCTGCATGCTCAGAAAGGTCTGCAGAGGTTGCATGAAAAGGGGTTTCCTGGGCTTGGTTCTCCTGGCCCTGCTCCAAGGTGACCTCATCTGGGAACAGCTCCTGCAGCCTCGGCCAGTTGAAGGTGCAGTGATCACCCTGCAGCACCGTGCACCGAGGCGTCAGCTCCCTCATGTACAAGCCAGGATCCCGACCAGGAGTTTCCATTGGCAGCTGCCACCCGAGCAGCCGCAGAGGCAGAAAGGCCTGTCAGCCCCAGTCGAGGCAAAGTCCCAGGAGTGAGTATGGGAAGCCCACGCATATCTTGCTGGTTGGTGAAAGCTCAGGGCTGTGTTTCTTAGGAAACCAGAATCACCCAAGAGGAAAAAGCCCAGTGAGGCATTTAATTTACTGGATAATTTCTTAAATTTCCAAAGCTGCATGGTGATGCCAAAGTCAAGGCAGCCAGGAGGCCTGGGGAGCTGCCAAACCGCCGTGCGTGTTCCTTACCGTCCTGGTCAGCTCCTGTCTTGGCAAAGTAGGAGCACAGGCGGTCAAAGGCAGCACCGTCCCCAGAGCCCTGAATCAGCACCTCCTCGTCCAGGATCCACAGCAGCCCCCGGGGCCCAGCCGCCGAGCCTCCGGGCAGCGCCTGCGGCTAGCAAAGAAAAAGCCCCTCAGGGCTCGGAGAAAGACGCCGGAGGGCAGCCAGCAGCAGACAACTCCAGCCCACGCGCATGCCAGCTCTGCCCAGTGCAGGAAGGGAAGCAGCCTCTGCCCAGGTGTCTCTCCTGCCTCAGACAAGCCAGACCAGGCTCAGGAAAGCCTCCTGGCCTGCTCCAGCTCTGGACATCACCCATGAAACCCTCTGCAGAACGCTGTTTCTTGCAGAGCCAAGTCAGCCCCAGCTCTGCAGCCAGGCTGGAAAGGGTGCCCAGGATGGAGGACTGCCTGCCTGGGTTTGACCAAAAAGGGCATATAAATAAGCAACAGAGAGCACCTTGCAGAAGCAGTGAGACAGGCCAAACTGCCTTCCTGACAGACAATTGACCCTATGACCAGCAGACTAACCACCAGCTGCAGTCCACTTGCAGGGCTGACCTCTTGGGAAGCCTATTGCTAAAGCACACCTGTGAGGGGCCCTGCATATGAGCAGCCCCTTCCTCTCTCTTGGTCCTGGCCAACAGATGTGGCCTGCGCTCTGCTGGCATGGTCACCATTATGCACGCTGAGCCTTGTCCCAGAACTGCGCACGACAACTAACAGCCAGCTCCCGAGGCACGGGGAGCTGCTGAATCAGGGCATCGGTGACTGAGATACAGAATTGTTCATTTCCAGGTCATCAATTCGAGCCTGACCCAGGTGCGTATATAACAATTCAGCAATGGCTGTTTAGCCACCTATAGAAGACAAGTCGGGACAGGGTAGCCAGCTGAAACCCATCACATCAAACATCGTTGACATCTCCCTGGCACTGAGCACTGGCCCAGGCAGCAAGGAGAAGAGGTGCTGGACTGTGCCGCAAGCCCACTATCTCCTGCCAGGCTGAACGGTGTGCAGGAGAAACGGGCTGGGGCAGCAGCCACTGGGGTGACTTGGCTGTACACACCAGGACAAATAGACCTCATTCCAGGGACTATCACTGTGCCTCCACCAGCACTAAAATGTGTGTTTTCAAACACCAAAAAGATACCAACGCTGTACCCTTCCCTGTAACACCCTAGGAGCTGTTCTACTTGTGCCAACCATATCACGAGGGATCACGAGACATCATGACGTCTCCCTCTGCCTCAGGAAATCCTCACTCCTCTGGGAGGCAGACAGGGGTTTGTGTTAGTGCCAGACCGGCAGCCAGCTTCAAGCATGGACAGAGCAATAAATTACCACTCTGGTTATTGGGACAGATTACCTGTGACGGGTTCAGATCGATGATGGATAGCGTGGCCTTTGGAGAGAGCTCTGGAAGATCAAAAGACACCTCAACATTTTCCTGGAAAACATTATTTAAAAGTTCATTTCAGTCATGATTTGACATTTGAAATCCAAGAGGAGATGCACTTGCAAGAAGCGGAAAGAAGAAGGTGCCTGCTCCCGTCTCGCTCTGCTTTGCGCGATCTGATGCTGGCTGAGCAGCACTCCTGGTGAGACATCTTTGAAGTGATGGCAGTGGCACAGCTGCGCTTGCCATCACGGGATGGGCTGTCAGGACCACTGCGCTCAAAGAGCTTCTGCAGCACTTCTGTGAGCGTCAGACAAGTTGCATAAATAATGCATATGAAAAAAAAGTTGAAGACTTAACAAGAAAGCATCAAGAAAATAATCAATTATTTAATTTGCAGCTTGGAGGCTCACCACTGTTTTTATTAAATTTCCCTTTCTAAATGGAGAACTTCAGGTTGAGCCCCATGCTGCCCAGCTCTAGGTGCTGCAGGTGTTCACCACACCTTCCCCACGAGTGACGTTAAATCTTGCCCTCGCTCCTGGTGCTGGTCCCTGTGCCTGGCCCCGAGCATTCGCTGCTCTCTACAAGAGGCACAGCTCCTCGGAGAGCATCCTTCCACAACCACGCTCTCCCCACATGCAGATAACGGATCCACCTTTGCCAAGGGCAGCGGCGAGGTAAGTGGATCCTTGCTCACATACAAACGGGGGATGTGCAGCAAAATCCAAAGCTTTAATCTCTTTCCGCAGTAACATAGAGAGGTTTTGCTCAGGGATTCATATCTGCAGCCTGTACACACAGGTGAAGCAGAAATCAGCAGCTAGACCTGAATTTCACTTCTACCAAGGGCACATGCCTTTATCACCTCCATTTGTGACTTAGCTCTGTGAGTAACGCAGGTCATTTGGGGCTCAGGCTCAAAGCTGCACTAGCATGGCTGACAGATAAACTCATTGCAGCAGCCTGGGCAGCCGTCCTCAGCCAACAACAAATGCAAGGCAATGCAGCCTTGTGGAACCCGCTTTCATTTCAAGCTTGGTCAGTGACTACATATTCATTGCTACTGAAGAGCATATATATATGTATATACTTACTTGGCTCAAGTGATGTGTGAGTATTAAGCCATGGGAATTCAACTATTTTTCCAAAGCTAGAGGTTTTAAAGTATGCCTAATAATGCCTAATACGTTCACCTCTGCTTACAGATTTTTACAGCAGTTTATTTCTGCATTAATTTACCATTTTCCTTTTTATTCTCTATCCAGCACCTGAGGAAATTTAGCAAAAACACAGTTGCATCAATAGAACGGTTCAGAGCTTTCTCAGCTGGAAAAAACTTGCCCAAATAGATGCCCAAGACAGTCTGGCATTTCTAGCAGGTAAGAAATACATGATGATCTAAGAGGCCTGGGGCAGCAAGGGGATGAGAAACACTTGTCTCCAACCCTGTGCCCCCGGTTCCCCCCCCCCCCCCCCCGTCCCGTTCAGACCCCCAACACCTCTGCAAAACGCCTCCCATTCAAGCCGCTTAATGGAGTTACTGAGCCACACCACAGCAGGGGACAAGGACCCATGGAGCCAAGTGCAAAGCTCATGCCCCCGGGGCTAAGAGGGGCTCTCTGGCTGACGTGCAGCCGGGAGCGCGACCTCAACTCCTAGGGCAACCTATCCCTCGGGTCTCACCTCTTTGTACCTCTCCATTTCAGAGAGGAACGTTTTCTCGTAGAAGAGGGCCTGCAGCCGCTCGTGCACGTAGTTGTGACAAAGTTCTTCAAAAGTGGCCGCTCGCTCCCTCCTCTGATGCCGCGGGTTGTGAAAGCCAGGCGTGTCCACCACTGCGATTGATGCCATGGAGAGGTGGTGGGACGAAAAGGACCTGGGGAAACAGTCGTACACAGCACGGGGGTTTTACACACAGACGCACACCTGAGGCTGGCTTTCATAGAGACACCCTTTCCTCCCCAGCATGTGTATCCCTTCATTAGCACTGCTCCAAGCAACACTCAAGTACCAGCACTTTCTGCTGTCCAGCCGCCCGGTCAGACACCACTGCCTGCGTCTCAGGTCAGGGAGCACTAACAGCAACACAGCACATTTTCTTTTCTTGTCCCTTACAGCCTGAGTTTCACCCACATCTCCTTTGATCTATTCAAGCAGAGTAGCTTCTCCCAGCCTAGATGCAGCCATCTGGCATGGGCTATTCCTGACCTGGCTTAACGACCTGGCTTTGTTAATGACAGGATGAGATGCGTCCCCTTCCACACTTGTTCCTGTCCTGACACTCTACTTATTTAAAGTACTAAGTCTGAATTCAAATATATTAGGTTTGCTGACACAGATGATTTGAAAAATGGCTAAACTGACACGTGAAGCCAACATTGATGACAAGGTGAGTTTCCAAAACACGGATTGTAGGACCATGACGTATATGGTGTTTGTACAGGAGAAGACTGAATTTTTAGTTCTTGATGAAATCTATAATTGGAAATGCAGGCAGTAACATGCATGATCTGAGGAACAGGCATCAAGTTGGCTCTTGGGAGAAAGAGAGACACTGTTTACAACTTCTTAAAATGTTGCTCGCAGCCTTTCCCAACGTTTCAGATGAGAACAGCAGGGGAGCACGACCCTGAGAAACCTCTGGGATTGTTTTTAACGCACACTTCTGAAAAAGCCATCACATTGTGTTACTCTGCACTTCACTGGCTGCAGAGCTTCATGGCCTTTCCCATCACCTCCTCCTGCAGGCAGCTCACCGGCAGGCAGCCCTCTGTGGTGCGCTTGAGTGACATTTAAGAAGATGCACTTCTACATGACACAGGCCACTGAGGGTTCCTGCACCTCGATGAAAGTACAAGGTTGAATGAAGAAACAAAAATATATTTAGGAACTGCTTAAAGAATTTCATGTCAGCACCTTCCTGCAGCAACACCAGCGTGTGCTATGTTCTGGCCCTGCAGAACTTGAAAAGGATTCATGTTCACAATTTTTATCAGCTCACTGAGGAAAACAACATTTTCCTGACTGCACTGAGACATATGTTTTCACTTGGACCTCGATCTTTGTTGCAACAGTTTAAAAGGATTTGGTAGGCTGGTTTGGAAAATAAAATTAGGAAAAGCAAAGCTAGCTTTAAAGGGAAAACAGGACTTGGGACACATCTGAGCTAATGCTGTTATTCAAGAAAATCAGCAATATTTTGCTCTTCTGATGCTGCCGCCGATGCTAAGACCTTTCAGCAGTTTCCCTTTGAAATTTGGTTGCTATAAGTTAAAATAAAAATATTCAACTGCAGGTTAAAATAAACCTGTGACAACGATACAGAGTATTTTCAATTATCAGATTTGATGTGGATGCTGACGTTGAGGAATTGAGTTGCAAAACAGAGTTAAGAAAACTAAATGGTTTGGGGGCCTGATTCTGCTCGTACCCCACTATTAGATTACTGCATTTGTGTAGATCATTTCAGATTTACACCAGTTGAAGAAGTAGATATCAGACCGCAGAGGATATCCTTCCCGTCCTGGCTCTTGAGATGGAAAGGAGACTAAGGACACGCTGCTGTGATCCCAGGGAAACAGGGGACTTGCTTAGCTTTACCAGTCCCCAGACAACAGGGCACAGATGAAACACGGACTGATGAAGCACCTCTGGTGCCAGACCTTCCAATTTTTGATATTTTGATCCTCTCTTGCAATCAAGCTTTTACTAAGAAGCAATTCCTAGCAAGCATCTGCATGGCTCACTGTGGGATTCCCCGACCGGTTTATTGCTCTGTACATACTGGCAACCTTGATTTCAATCTGCAAAGTCACATCTATTATTAATAAGTAAACAAGCTGCATCTCTCAGCGCTGCAATGCTCTGATTTTAGCTGCTCGGTATTTACACTTACTGTGCTGCCTACTGGAAAATGAGATTAGTGGAAGTGTCTCCAGAACAGGAGCATCTGATAGGGGTGTGTGCTGCAGTAGAAAATGTGCTAATCGGCTGCCAATGCCATTGGCATCCCATGGCCAGGGAGGTTTCAGCTCCCGAGGTGCCGGGAAGGCTCTGAGCCAAGAGCGGGCACGAGCAAGGCAGTAAGGTTGCTGTGGTTGCACACCACCAGCAGAAGAAATGCCTTGCTGCAGCATAAGCCTCCACCTTCAGAAACGTCAGACCTGCACTTGGGAGCGAAGCAGGGTAGCTGAAAGTGGCTGGTGGTCCGGGACGCAGTGCCATACCACTGCATCAAGAGACAGGCATCAGAGCGCTGGGCCCAGCTCCACACACTACTAATGGTTCAGCACTTCTTCCCACCACAAAGGCACTCAGGAGAGAAGAAAGAGCCTGGCATGTGGGCAACCCTTGCCAGAGCCAGAAGGCAAAGAGCAAGGAGGAGAGACAGGAGGCACACAACCACCCATGCAACACCTGGATGGGCTGAGCACCTAACTGCTGTTCTCTGAGGACTTCTGGTTCACATTGTCAGGACCAGGGGCCAGGAGCCCACAGAAAATCCCAGTCTGCCAACAGACTCTCTGATACAGATATTTTCCGATAACCTTTCTGCAGCAGGCAACGGTTGCCTACTACATGCAGCTCTCCAGAGAGCTCCCAGTAAAGGCTGCTCTTCACTAGTGCCAGGAGGACATGTTAGCAGCGAATGTCATGAACGTGCCTTGTTTCCGGGTGCACGGAAGCTTCACTGGCACAGGCCCTGGCAGCACCCATACCTGTTGATTAGGGAGACGACAGCAGCAAAGAGCTCCTCGTAGAGACCCGCAGCCATCCCCTCCACGCACTCCACACCAGTCATCTTCGGCCCTAGTGCACACAAAGAGGAGAGCAGGCAGAGAAACATCATTTGTCCAACCTGCATGAGACACAACCAGTAGCAGGCATTTCCCTTGCTCTCTGGGTAAGATAACCTGTGTCGCTCCTAATTTCTGTCTGGCAGACACTACATAACTCCGGTTACACCAGCAATAAATATCCAGGTGTGTACTTTCGGTTCCTCTAGTGCTTCTAGTCTAATTTATATTTAAGAAATAAAACCATCACCATATTAAGGGCCAGCGCTGCAAGTTCTTGCTTCTATCGGCACAGCCTGCAGCAGCCTGGCTGTAATTCAGTCACTGAAGACTAGTCTGGCAGGGAAAGGCTGACCTTAAAGCTGGGCGATATCTCATACTCCCCCACATGTGTGTGCTGGATCTACCTCTGCAAATTAGGTCTATGCATTAATTTGAAGTTTATACTAGTTCAGCAATGGTTTGTTAAGCAGTGGCATATTGTACTGCACACTATCCAGCTCTCCTTGAACCATACAGGCACATGCAGCAAAGCACCAGCGCTGCTTCATTTTTGAGCATGGCGGAAGGAAGCTCCCTGCCAGCTGCCCTTTTGCTATTTTTTTTCTTTTATCTCTTCCTCTTCCTTTTCTGGGGGAGCTCTTAAAGCATTTCATGGTCTTTCTTTAACCCTGGAATCCAGCTGGTTGCTAGGGAACAGGCAACCTCCTTGCACCTTGGCAAACACAATAGTCCTTTTTGCAGCAATTGTTGGAGAGCCACAAGCCCTGGCTATAAACACGGGGAGGGGAAGAAGAATTTGCGTGAAAGAGGAAAAAAAACCACATGCGCATTGGAATTAGGTTGGTGCTGACTGTGAATTTTTCTCAGTGCCCAGATGTCAGCAGGCTCTTGTGGCCTAAACCAAATTACCTCTGCTTTCCACTTAAAAGTGTCTGATATTTACAGTTAACATAGCTGCTTGTTGATGCTGCTTGCCCTTTCCCTCCCTCTCCGCAGTTTCCACAGGCATGTAGCACTCGCACTTTCTTTTCTACGCTGCAAACCTCACCTCCTGAACAGGACGGAGCAGAGGAGTCCTGTCAGAGGGATCCGTGCTCCCCGGTGGACTGACAGCCTCCCTGAGAGCAGCAAGCTGCCGCATCTTTGCTGCTTCTCTTGTTGTTCATGGGACAAGCGAAGCATTTTGTAGCAGTTCTGTGTTGTACTGAAACCAAGATGAGCACTCGGAAGCCCATATTTCTAAACGCAAGGGGCTGAAACGACAGCGCTAGGCAAGGTTTGGCTGTCCGGGCCCAAGGTCGCTGCTGCCTGGCAGCATCCAGCCCTCCGGCAGCATGGGCAGAGGGACAAGCACCACTCCAGTTTACAAGGGGAGAGAAGAGGCTGCAACGCTTGTGCTGTCTGTATTTCTACAAGACCTCACTTGGCGATGGGCCTCTCAGAAACCGTGAGGTCTCTTGGCAAATAACCTGATCTTTATGCCATATCGCTTATCTTCCGCTGACACTATCGGAAGTCACTGGACCTTCAGGTGTCCTTAAGAGGCAACAGGTGGAGTCAACTTTAAAGCTCAGGATTGCTGGAAAGCTCAGGATCGCCACCTGACTGAGCACATTTAACAGTCCATTTAATATGAATGTATTGAAATGGATCTTACTGCCTGAAAAGAGAAGGGTGCATTGCCTTTCCCTACAGCACCAAGCACTCCATCCATCTTCTCCCAGTGCCCAGTCAGGAACAGTGCAGAGCACAGTACTTCTGCATCAACTATAAATAAAGAAAAATGGACTATAAAACTCTGATACCTGAAGGAGTCTCCTCTTCCAAGGGCAGCCGACTGCCCCGAGCCGCGACCTGCTCTATGATCTGCTTGAGGTGGTGTTTGAAGACGGCAGTGGTGAGCTCCTCGAAGTCGCAGCCCAGAACATCTGCAGCTTTATTTGCCCACTCGAACTTCATGAACTGCTTCCTGCCAACTGCCGAGAGGGGAGAGAGGAGGTAGCACGTACAGACGGGATCCCGCAAGCACGCCTGAGCGCAGCAGGCACGCGCTCGCCGCCGCCGGCACGCTTCCCTGCCCCGCTGCCACATCCAGCCCGGAACGAAAAACAAAATAAGCAAAACAAAGATGACTGCTGCTTGCAGCGTGGGATGGGGTGGGAGGGAGCCTTGCACCAGCGAACCCCAGCTGCTTTCCCTCTGCCGAGGAAAGGCTGCTGGATCAGACCTGCCTTCACATCCTTAACGGGCAGTTTTCAAACCACACGCTTGCTGACCTCCTCGGAGCAAAAAGCCTACATGACCACAGCCTAAACGTGCCCCTGGAAAGATGCAGCAGCTGGGGCAAAACCGGGCCGGAGCGGCAGCGGCGGGCAGCGGAGCAGAGCCTGCTGCCTCCCAGCACCACTTGGGACCCCTGGCACAGACAAGGACACGAAAAAGGGCAGCAAGGCAACCAGTATCAAAATACGGTTTCTACCCAGAAAGCCCAGTTCCTGCTAAGAATTTTAGCATTTATGCTGCCTTATATTCCCTGTCTCCAGCAGAGAGACCGGCACAGATGCCACAGCGGCAGGCACCGCTTGCCGACAGCAGCTCTAGGGATTTTCCTCGTGACCCCGAGGTAGCGGCGCCCGCGATGTGCAGAGCTCAACGGTTAGGACAGGGCAGAGCCCTTTCGCGGAGAGCACAGCGAGCCTCCCCGCCGCGGTGCGCCCTGCGGCTCG